AAAAAAAAAAAAAGAAAAGAAAAGAAAATGGTCTGGGAATCCAGGGTTGCCTCAGTCCTGACTGGTTGTGTGAACTTGAGTAGGTCCCTACCTCTCTCTAGGCCTTTCTTAGAAATGCCAGTAATGAGGTTGCCCCACGAGAGATAAATGAATCCAAAAGGCTCCCTGGCTCAGGACACAGCTCTCTCGCCTGGTCATCAGAGATACCGACCTATCCAAAGAAAAGAACACAGCAAACCAGGAATGAGGTGTCCAGAGAAAAGCCAAGGTTCAGAGAAGCCTGCGTGTGTATGTCCAATACTGTCCAGAAGGGAAGAGTCACTGTCTGAGGATGCCCATCGGGTCCCCACAGAGGGCCTCTCTGCTCAGAGTGGAAATGGTTCATCAGGCTTCACCAAGGCCTGTGTGAACAACCCTCTGCACTAGTCATCCTTGCCCCTTTGGTCATATTCTGGGCCCACTGGGCAACAGTTTCCCAGAGACTCGGCTGCCAGGAGGGAAGGAGACTGGGGGAGGGGATGAGAGCACTCTTGTCTGTGGAAAGGGAGATTGTTCCGTGTCGGATAGAACAGTGATGGGAGGAGGCATCGATCTTGAGGGACCTGGTTAGGGTCAGCCTGTTCGACCTCTCTGGGGGTCCTGAGAAAGCTCAATGTCAGGACCTGCCAGCATCCAGGCTGAGATCTGATACTTAGCTAAACCTCTGGCCACCTGGCTTTCCTCAGTGACACAAAATCCACTCCAACCCCATCCTTCCCACTTCCTTATCATGCTATTCCTTCATTCTAAACTTTAAAACTCTGAGATTCAATTGAAACTCTCCCCTATCTCATAATGACCTTACACATATAGGTTTTTAATGCACCAATGTCTTTATTGCCATTCAGGTTAGTTTGCTTAAAATTAGGATCAACTGCTACCAGTCAAATGATGGTGATTTATGTGACAACTGATGATAAGTCACGCTTAAATCTGGCATCTATGACATCACTTTGTATAGAGGCAGGATGCTCTGAGTTTAAATCCTGGCTCTGCCACCCAGAATAAGTTACTTAACTTCTGTAAGCATGAGTTTCCTCATTTGTAAGAGGGATAATACACCCACCTTGCAGGATCATAGTTGAGAATTAAACAAATTAATGTATTTAAAGCTCAAAGCACAGTATCTGACACAAAATCAGCTGATCAGCATATTCTTTTCTTTTCCCCGTTACCCCTGGTAACCGATTTTCTGTTGTGTATTAACTCATTCTCCTTCCTCATTGAGTCTCCTCCTTAACTGGTCACATATAGTGAAAGAAGTCAGATATTTATACCTACTTATAAATAACGTTTCCTACGAGAATTCATTCGAAAAGCAAAACACCTAGCAACAAACAGCTAAACAAGCCAACTTCTATTTCATTTAAAAATCTCACCTCAGTGATAAATGCTTCCATAACAATGGATATAGAAAGAGTGACCAATTCTGAAGTCATAGATTCATTTGGATAGTCCCACCCTTTTGAAATGTTCCAATTTTACAGAAGATCCATGAATACTGTTTCTTAATTACATTCCAAGTATTAAGACTCTCAATTCATTTCCTCTACTCAGTCCTCACAGATGAAAGAACTACACAAATGCTCTTCAATTCAGTTATTTCCTCTCCCATAATCGATGAAACTAAGCCTTATTTCAGGAAGGAGGCAGTTACAGAAGGTAGGAAGAGAAAGAAGAGATACAACCTGCTGCATAATGTGGGTGATTGCTCCAGGGGAAGATGCTGGGATGGACTTCACCACCACCGAAGTCTGTGTTGCGGTCTGTGACTGAGCCACATGCTGGAGCAGGGTCCGCTGGGGCTGGGAGGGCTGTTGGGGCTGGGAGCGATGGCTGACTGAAAATAGAGGAGGTGATGATATTTCTCCAGAAATCACCACAGCATCTGTAACCAGTAGTCATTTTAAACAAATGTCTGTGAGATTGCATCACAGAGAGAATGTGTGGTACTGTGAACTAGGAGCAGAAGACCAGAGTCTGCCCATCTATGAGCTGTGTGACTCTGAGAAAGTCACTTATCTTCTCTGAGACTCTGTGTTCTCATCTGTAAAATGGGAATAACAGAGCTATTATAAGGATGAGATGAGAAATGCAGAAGCACTGTGAAAACTATTATCACAAAGGAGGAACAAACCCCTTAAAGTTATATCCTCCTGTGAGCTGTACTTAATGTCTCCAACAACCTTCACCCCATTAAGGTAACAAAACAATAATACATTTCTATAATCAAATCCTAGACTATTATCTTTAAGGATACTAAGATTATACTTAATTTACTAAGATAATAATTTCTTGGTCCCAGTTCCAAATGCAATACAAAACCCAGAAGCATTCATTCTTTTACATGAAGTGACACTGTCTTGCAGCCTTATAGTTCCTAAAGATGTAAGAGGTCAAGATGATACTGCACAAAGAACTGCACCAAGAGTCACACCTGGGTGGATTCTGTCCCACCCTGCCACCAACCAGCTATGTGAATTTGAAGAGGTCATTTAAATTCTATGAGTCTCTAAACTTAGAGTCTCTAAACTTTTGTTTATTTTTGTTTTTTTAAAAGAATAAAAATTTTTTTCTACCTAGAAGAGGATCAAATGAAGTAACAGATGGAAAATGGTCCTTAAATTGTTAAGTCTTATAAAGCAAACAAAAGAATAGAAAAATCCAAATTTTGTTCATCTGACATAAATGGGTGAGAATACAGTGTAACAGGAAAACAACCCCATTTCCTATTTTCTCGCTACAAAGGTCCAAAGGAATAAACTAGACATGTATATCGATGTAACAGATGTAAACCAATACTTCTACATTGATGCCAAACTATCTCTTACCAGCCTCAACTTCAACTTTTTAAACAGTAAAACATTCACCACTTCTTATTCTATAGAGCCTTAAAAATGCTTATGGTTACTGGGAAACAAGCTTTTTGAATTAAAAACAGAGTAAAACAAATCTGTAAGATTAGCTAAGGATTTTGAGAATATCAAAATTCTCTGAATAACCCATGATTCTAATGCTCAAATATCTTGATCTGCAATTTCAAGTAGTTCCATATTCAAATGGTTCCATGTTTAGAAAAGTCATAGTGGAATGTCCAAGGAGAAGATGATCGCTACAGAAATCAATGTCAAAGTACTACCTAGGTATTATAAGTACAGAACTAAAACTATCCAGTGAAATATAAACAGGCTTTATTTATTTTTATAACTCATTCTGTCTATATTCACAGTTTTTCTATTGTTGCTTACACATATGCCTACATGTGATATAAGAGATTATAGGCAGCACCACCGGTATAAATGTACTGCAGTATCTTACTGCATTTCACAGTATGCTTTATATGCATATTTTAAATTATATGAGTTAACAAAATCTTCCATATGTGCTCCACCAAACTGAAAAAAAGTGTTGATATTAAAACAACTATGGAAATCATTTATAATGTGACTGAGGAGAAAAAACAAATCATACTCATATTAAAATTAAACTAATGAAGTTTTTTACTGATAGAAGCATCATCAGAAATGAATGACATTTGAAAAATAAACAATTTTTCATGAAATTATCAGATTATATGGAACATTTCTGCTGCCCATACTAATCTTAATTATAACATTAAATTTTTTATTAGGAAAGGAAATGGATTTAATAGATCAGCTAAAATCATTTAAGAATAATCCTCATTCAAGATACTGTAAATCCGTTCATAGTAATTCCCCAGTATGCAGGAAAGTCAGAGAAAACTAACACCTACTGTAGGATAATACAAGAGATCAGGTCCAGGAAGTTGGATCTGAAGTCAAAGAAAATGCTTAATGTGGCTTAGGATATGATAGGGAGGAGATAATGGAAGGAAGTCAGAGAGTGAACATTTGGAAAACAGCTGAAGTGACCCTTAACTGCGCCATATCAACAGCACAAAACAGTCACTTATTTCTTTAAAAGCTCTTATTTTTTCCAATGTCAAACTGCTCATTTCTGAGAAAGAATCCCACTATCCTGCGAAAGGAAAGTCTCCTTTTCACTGAGCGGAGCTTACCTTTCCTCTACCAGATCAGAGTAGAGCGCATCCATGTAAGTGGTTCCCCCCAAACAATAATATTTAACCTTCAGTTATACTACAAATGGATGCACACCACTTACCTAGAAGGGGAAAAGCAACCTCTGTCCCCTCATCAGTGCGTTCTGAAAAGGATAAGTAAGGGAAGAAATCATAGGTCTTTTCCTCTGTTTACCATTTGACAATCTAGTCTATCCCCAGAGGTTAATACTGATTGCCCCAACATACTGTCCTCTGCTTTCTTTAGCTTTCTGCTAAAGATCTCTAAAGAAAGATGCTAGATGGCTTTCCATAGTCTCTAACTCGATTTTCCCCTCTGGCAATTTTAACCCATTAATCTTTTTAAAAATATCTCTTAAAATGATACCAAAGAATTCCTTTTCTGCTTTGGTATTTTCTACATCCTTTAAATATTTGTAACTTCATATTCTCTTTTAATCACTGCTTAAGAAAACTTAAGACAGGTGTCCTTGACATACTGCCTCGTAAGTCATTTCTCCTAACCCCTAATTATTCATATTACTATCCTCTGAACTATTTCAAATCTCAAGGTAATGAAGTGTCCAAACCAGAAAGCAGTATTCCAGGTGTGGTCTCACCAGAATATGAGAGAAAGAATCTATTATCCTTCCTGCTCCACTTTTCTATCTATGCCATCCAAAAATCTCATTAGTGTTTTACTGCCAGACCACATTTTAAACAAATACCTAATTTGCTTTCCACCAGAACTAAGTATTTACATGGATTTCAAGTTTTCCACATTTTTTTTCTTTATGTTAAAAAAGTATTGGGTTTTATACCTTCTTTCTCCCTTGACCCACCTCCCCTCCCCCAAAACTAAAAAAACTCAGATGCCTCAAAATACTTCTTCCTATATGAAAGGTATTTTATCCTCTCTACAACTGTCACCCTGTATTCACAGACATCATATATGGCCGACCTGCAATTTGCAATAACCAATTGATTTTTTCCCCCTCATCATTAAAGATAGGGTAAGTCCCAAGCCTGACAATGTGAATTTGCTCTCAGAGCAAACTGGAAAAGATCTAGAAATATAAAACCTATATTCTTCCCCAAACAAGCATCCCATCAAATCCAGAAAGGTAGCTCTCCTACCTTAATACTACTTTTTAAAGGACACCTACCAGTAGTGATGTATTCAGCAACTAGTTCTGACTCTACCACAGCAATGGATGGACTCTCAGGAGAATGTCTCTTTTCCTGGGTCATCTGAATAGGCACTGCCATCTGACTCAAGTCAATAGTGGGTTGTCTTGGTTTAGATTCCAATTTTTCCTTTACTGCATAAAAAAGTCAGGGGAAAAGTTAACTTTTATTACAAACAAGTATCAAAACCAGAGTTGTCCATGGGAATAATGAGCCAGACCTCTGTGGTGCCACACTGGCCATGACTAAGGAGACAGTGAATTGAAAAGAAAAAAGCAGACTGCTATGTATGGTTGTAGAAGGCACAATTTGTGCAACCATACCGAGCAGCCTAGCAAGAAGAACTCATATGCATACAGACTAAAATTCCCCCCTACTATGACTAGGCCAAACAATCTGTTTCCCTTATACACACTCCTCTTAGAACATTTCCTTTACCCTTCTTCAAGGTAGTCCCTGGTATCCTCGAGTTCAACCTGAAAACAAAGGGTGAATAAGCAGTATACACCATGATTTGCTCTAGGGCATATCTACCCAGAAGAGTACAATACAATGACCGGTTTAATTTGATCTGTTAAAAATTCAAGATAATCTCCAAAGAAATCTACCAAGTCTTCAACGACTCTTAAAGAATAAAAAATTTCAGTGTTAGGAAAAAACAACCTCTCTGTTCTACAAAAATGTTTTATGGAATCGTCTGGAAACAAGAATGGGTTCCATGGATAAATATACTTTCTATCTTATCATTTTTCTAAAAAATCTGCTCATTCGGTTTCCACCCTCTATAGGACATTAATGGAAATGGCTGAGTATGTCAAAGACAAGGAGCTGAGGAAGTGCCTAAGGCCAAAAACGACACCAATAGAAAGATTAACCGAAGATATTGAGTGCTAGTATTCTTTGGCTAGAGTAAAGTGGATGTTACAACAAATAGTTACCAGTAATTAAGTCCACCGAAAGATCATTCAGATCATTCCTATGAAGTACAATATGACAAAATCAAGCTAATCATTTAAACAAAGAAAGCAAAACAAAACCAAAATAATATCACAGTCACCCCACAAGTAAAGAGGACACTGAATTAGGAATCAAAAGACACGGAGTCTCACTCTGCCACTAGCCAATTGGGTAAACTCTCCGGATCTCAGTTTATTTATGCATAAAATGAAAGGGCTGGATGAGATCATTGCTAAGGTCCCTTACGTACCCTAATGATCTTTGACTTATTGTGTAACATGAAAGTCAGTATAACTGACACAGGTTTTGCCTAGAGTTTACTGAAGATATTTAAGCAACCAGAAATACTGACAGGATCTTGTTAAATGAGGATGGCTTTGCACGGAAGCTCAAGTGGTTAAATTATACAATGAAATATAAAGAAAAAACAAATGAGAATGCTAGCAAGGGCCATTAATGGTGTTTCATGTCCACAAAACTGCCCACCAATATCAAGGAGGATGGCAGGGGCCCTGCAATCTGCCTCCTACTATTCTTACATACAATTAGTAGCTATACTGCATCTATCCTTGTGCCTAGAAATGATAGAAACTACTGCCTTCTGGGCGACACGAGGCTACAGGATTGCCCTTTTAAGCAGGAGACAGAAAAGAAAGAGTTCTGTCCTTTTTTCTCCCTGACTAGTCTATCCTTCAGTACTCCTGGGCACATCTTATTGAACTGACAAGTAAACAGACTGCGGCAACGATTATAGACCAGTCCAGAGGGGGGAAATGTGCTCAAATAATAACAAAGAAAATATAACAGTGGTAGTATTTTAGCACAACCCATCTCTAGAGAAAACATGCTTCATTCAATTGAGCATGTGAATTCATACCTGTTGTCTGTTGGAGTTCTAATAGAGCTTTGATTGTTGAAGTAGCTGATTGTGATTCACTGGATACATCCTGATAAATTATGGTGGGGCTAGTCTCCATTGCAATCTCATGTTCTGACCAATCCTGACGCCGGGAAGCAATTACATGAACTACAGGCTGGGAATCTGTTTTATATTAGTTAAAAAAAAAAAACCCTATAAACAAAGTTTCTCTTAAAAAAAAAAAACAATTTGTTTTTTTTTTTTTAATCTTTGTATTTACTGTAAACTTCATGCTTTATCTCCCCAAGAAGACCGTAAGCCCCCAGAGGGCATAATATCTTTTGTGTCTGTATTTACTTACTCATTCACTCGTATACACTGATTCAACAAACTAGGCACCTATATGCAGGAGTCTATATTGGCATTGAGGATATAAAGGAGCTTACGGAATAACAAAGGATGCTCAAGAAGCACACAATCCGGTTGGGGAGACAGACATGTAAAAAGACAAATTACAATTCAATGTGACAACTGCTATAATAAATAGGGGTGCATTTGTGTAAGTAGATGCATGCTTGTGTATAATAAGAACAAAATGCTGTAGGAAGTCTTTTTTTCCCCAGTGCACCTGAAAATGTGTTCTGTATGACAACCTGAGCATCTAGTCAACACTTACTGGATGGCTGAAATACTGAAAAGAAATCCTGTCCACCAACAACAAGAATGGACAGATGATCTAGAAAGCAGGATGATAAAACAGGACACATATAACATTTGGAGTTCAAAGTCTTAGGTTGCAGCCCCAGCTCTATCAATTACTTGCAAGTTGAGTCTTTGAGTTTTAGTGTCATTATTTCTAAAATGACAATGATAAAATTACCTCTCCACCTCACAGATTTCTGAGAATATGATGAAATAATATACATAAGAGAGCTCCATAAACTATGAAGGACAGCAGAAATGTTATTGTTGTTGTGTCCTAAAAGTTCTTGATTCTGAGACTCTTCATTAGTTTCAAAATGAATTACAGCCCTAAATCAAGGCTAATTATATTTATGCTATGAAGTTAGGCATGTAAATACTAAATGTGCATCAAAACAAGCAACAAATTTTTGAGTTTTCCATCTACAGAATAGGCAGGTTGGACTAGACTACTGTTAAGTTCCTAAACTCCTTTGTCAGGATACCACACAGGACAAAAATTATGTTGGATCCCCACTCGCAAGTTTCAATTACAATGGAGGAGAGACAAAATAAACATACATATAGCTTTGTGTTCTTGGGTAAAATCAAATGACTAGGGCAAACAAGACAAATACATGGAAATAAAAAGACTGCTTTGATTTGGATTAGTCAGTGAAAGCATTACAGAAGAATGAAAGAATTCATGCAGCCCCCCAAAAAACAAGAATAAATTCAACATAAGTTCAACCTTCTTTGAACCTTATATTTTTGAAAACCACAAAGTTGTCCAAAAAGGTTGGGGAGGTGAAATGACTCTTTAAAACAAACAAAAAACAGCCTTGCCAAAGAAAACACAACTGATATACAATAGAATTCTACATTATTGTACATTCCATATACAATGGAATTTTTAAATTACCATTAACAAACTGTATCCCCTGTTCCCCAAACACTGGGTAGAATATATGCCACACCAGGGATGTATAATTTCCATTAAACTTCTCCCCAAATTCTAGAAGATTGTGGGATACTATACTGCAATACCAAATGTCATGTGATGCATATTACAGTTATTCTTTACTTGTTATAAGCAGACAAATAGAACTTATACTTAAGAAAACTAATTTTATTAGGAAATAATTATTTTTATAAAACCTAAGTTCTCACATTTAAGAAATTCCCCCGGTGATGTAAGTACCCTTTTGGGTAGGTGAGAGGACCCATAGGCAAAGAATGACTGCAACCCAATTCTGTAATATTCATTGAATATCCAGAAGAAAACAAGGATTGCATTTGCAGAGAGATGAGGTAGAAAGAGACTAAAAGAAGAAAACAAATTTCCACATGGGAGCACCTATCAGACATCAACCCAAATAACATCATCCTGTAGGGGCTAGAGATTCTTCACTCTTTCTGCCCATACTCAGAGAGTGGCTGCTCATCACACGGTATCACTGCAGCAACCCCAAGAGCTGTGACAAAGAATGAGAGTGTGAACCTACATGCAAAAACCAATCCTTGAGTGAGTTTCCTCTTTACTTTGGCTTTTATGCTTAAACCAAATAAACCTATTGCCTATTAAGTCTGATACTGAGGTCAGGATGCAACGACTAAGACATCAGGAGCTTGATCTCACAGTACCATTTGATTATGAAGTGTATATGCCTCTAGACTTCCCCCATCTGTCTTGAGAATGGTGGTCTTCTAACCCTCAGATATCTTTCCCCACAGGTCACTTAACAAATATTTACTGGACGTCTACTACACGTTAGGTACCAGAAATACACACTGTACTGTTATAAGCAAAGGCAGATCAGGCATCTCTATGGAAGAATGTCTCCTGTGACTTTACCATAAAAGGCCCATATCACACTTTCATAGTACAGTTAAGACCTCTCAGCTAGCAGGGATCTAAAAGTTCATTTAATGCTATCACCAATCCTATGCTAAAATCTTCACAATATCCCCACCAATCCAGGAACTGCAACACCAGAGAACTCACTACTTTGTAAGATAGTTTCCTTCCATTTCTGCAGTTATGACAATTAGAAAATTTTCTTATATGGAACGGAAACAGGGCTTCCTGTGACTTCTACCCAATGGTTCTAGTTTCCATCCACATTTCCACAAAGACTCACTCTTTTCCCTCTTCCATGTCACAGTCCTCAAGAAAACTGACAGCTCCCAATGTCCCCAACCCAATCCTCATCTTCTCTTCTCCATAAAAAATGTCCTGTTTCCACCAACCCTCTCTCACATAAAATGACTCCCAGATGCCTTACTCATCTAAACCACCCCTTCTAAACTAAACCCAAGATGTCTATGTCCCCTCTATGATGTAATATGTATGTGCCCTCTGAAGTACTGTCATAAAGCCCAAGGCCTTCATGGTATTTAACTGCCTAGACAGCATCACTCAAAATATTTCAAAGAACATTAGTTCCTCAAGATGTTCTGCAAAAGAAAGGTTCTATGGTCAAAAAAGTTGGGGAGCATTTTACATTACATACTCCACTCTTCACCTTTCACAATATATGTTAACACATAATAGCTCTGAAAAGTTCTGCAATAAGTATGTTTTGCTTAACCTGGATTCATTCCCCACCCTCACTATGATCTACCAAAATCATAAAGCTTCTGGAAAAATCATCCCAGAAACCAATTTGTGGCCTCCTTAAAGCAATGTCTTTACAGGATGCATTTTTGTATCTGCCTCATACCTTGTTCCATCTTAAATCCCTACCCTTGGTTTTGTCTCCTTGCTCTCTTCCATTTCACTTCACATAATCTTATATTCTACCTAATCCACCTTAAACCTACTGGAAATAAACTAAATATAAATAAAGAAATCCTTAATATTTCTCTCTTTTTTAAAAATCTTGGGGTGCCTGGCTGGCTCAGTTGGTGGAGCATGTGACTCTTGATCTTAGGGTTGTGAGTTTGAGCCCCATGTTGGGTGTAGAGATTACTTAAAAATAAAATCTTAAAAAAAAAATCACAGAGTTCTTTTTAACTCTTCTTGAAAGTTTTCTGTAAGTTTGAAATTACATTAAAAGAAAAAGTTACCAAAGGTGGGGGAGGGGCAAAAACTACAAAAGAAATATAAAGGAAAAATGAACTGCTATGTAGTGCTTACATTCCCAATAGGTATGACCCTCATATACTTTGAAAGCCAGCATGATCTTAGATTGACCAAAATCTTTATCCCTTTCTCTTTAAATCACAGCATATATATCATCAGTCATTGTGAGAATGCACTAAGGAGCTATATAAAGATATGGGGGGAGGAGGGAAAATGCAGATTATAGAAACTGGCTTTATAATCTAGATATACATATTCTGAATTATCTTTTTCTGTATTACAGAATATCTTTTTTTTTTTTTTAAGATTTTATTTATTTGACAGAGAGAGAGAGAGAGACACAGCAAGAGAGGGAACACAAGCAGGGGGAGCGGGAGAGGGAGAAGCAGGCTTCCTGCTGAGCAGGGAGCCCGATGCGGGGCTTGATCCCAGGACCCTGGGACCATGACCTGAGCCAAAGGCAGATGCTTAACGACTGAGCCACCCAGGCACCCCTGTATTACAGGATATTTTTTAAATAAATAATATGTAATGATACAGGACAAATAAATAAAAATAGATGAAGCCATGTATAATAAGAGATTGAAAAGCAGAAAACCTTCCACTCAATCACTTCCAAAAATAGCCAAACTTTTGTCCCATTCTTAGAATGAATACTTAAGACTGCCTAATGAAATGGCATTGTTTGGGAAGTAATGATTGGCTTATAGCTCCCTTAGGAAAAGACTAGCAATTTCAAAAGATAACCTGAGATTATGGATATAAAAACATACACTATTCATGTCTCCCTTTTAGCATCAACTCATAAGCTAAACATTTTACCCGTCCTCTATAAAAATATTTCTCAAGGGCAAAAATGGCATGTATTATTCAAGGAACCAGAGACTTAAAAATAAAAGAGGAAAATGCAGCTGATGTGCTGAAGTAAGAATGGAATCTTTAGGTATCAAATCATTAAGAAATAAAGATCATATGAAATAGAGAATAAGCATCACTCCACTGTAAAGTACAAAGACTGATTCATAATCAGTACAGAATGATAAACTGAATCTTCTCAGTAAATTGATCCAGAAAATATTACTATCATTGATAATATGCTGAAGAAAACTATACATTCTCTAAAATGAGTGTCATATTGTTTGTTAAAATCAACATTTTTGGGACACCTGAGTGGCTCAGTCAGTTGGGCATCTGCCTTCGGCTCGGGTCATGATCCCAGGATCCTGGGATCGAGTCCCGCGTCGGGCTCCTTGCTCAGTGGGGAGCCTGCTTCTCCCTGTGCCTCTGCCTGCCACTCCCCCTGCTTGTGCTTGCTCTCTGTCTCTCTCTGACAAATAAATAAATAAAATCTTAAAGAAAAAAAATCAACATTTTTATTTACTTTTAATTGATAAGTTTTCAAAGACCACTTCAAATGCTATCTCCTTCATGAAGCTTTCTTATCCTCTCCTCACTGGAGTGTGAATTTTTAGCCTTTGGCATTTTTGTTTGTTACTAATAAACTTATTATACTCATACTGAAGTTGTACATGTATTTTTTAATCCCCTACTCTAGATTTTTACAAGAACTATATTTTACTCAACATTCATAGGGCCTAGCACAATACTTAATATATAGTATAAATAAATAACTGTCAAATTCAATTAATGGGCTAATCAGCAATTTGAACCATATAAGCAATCTGAACTTCCCACTAATCTGGAAAGACTCTATTAAACAGTTAGAATAATAAAAGTGCACCCGATGAAGAATCTGTATTAGAAAAGTGAAGATGCTCAGAAAGCACTCCAGAGAAAATAATGGGGAGGTGAGGAGAGGGAATGGAGTGGGTGAGGAATGATTAGGGGAAGATAAACAGCTTTGCTTATTAGATGCATCAGAGCATATAAGCAAGCATAGGCATAAATATACCTCCCATCTGACGATAAGGGCGGTCAAGGTAACTGACAGACATGAGTACTAGATTTGTAGGTCTCAAAGCTTATGATCAAGAATTTATTTCAAGAGACTTCCTAGACGAACAACACAATTAAAACAGCACTGAGGATAAAGAGCTTCCCTACTATGGAGTCTGGCTTCATAGTTCCTTCCTTATAATTAGGACAATCATATAATATCATCTAAATTGGGATACCTCTGAGATGAGAGTGAAAAGGAATGCTATTAATAATTCTGCTAGAACAGACACAAACCAGGACTTGTCCTCTGCAAACTGCAATGTTTGGTCACTCTACTTATAGCCCACATATGGCCCACCTCTGGCCACCCTGATTCTTTCTCAAGGTTCAAAAGTAACCATTCAAAAGATACATTCACTCTGTTGCCCACTTCTCCTACTTACCCAAAAGGAAACAAGAAGAACCACAGCACTATTCAAGTTTCGTAATCCCTACCTGCCAAAATCACCATCTATAGTTTACCAATTATTTGATGAACATATGCCATGCAGGAAAGAATGGTAAAGTCTTACTAAAAACAAAACTTCAGCTCACCGATTACATATCAAACAAAGGAAAATAAAATCAAAAGAATCGACAAATCAAAGCATACATGTTTGTTTGAAACCCCTAGGTTCAACTATTTTGGAACTAGGGCACTATGTCAGAAGTAATTACATAAATCAGAAGTAAAATGGATCTTACCTTGGGAACTTTGGGAGGACTCTGTAGAAGAGGAACTACTATCGGTATAACTCTGTGGGTCTTCTTTTCCCTCTTGAATAGATGAATTACCAGCTTCTGCCACCCTAGATGCTTGCTGTAATGTTTCTGTGACCAGCTGCCTTGTTTGTTCACTAACAACTGTGGCTTGAAATGTCACTGGTTTGGGTTTAATAAGAACCTAGAAGAAAATCAGAAATATACCCAGTTTAAATTTTAGAGCACTATTTAAAATGCTAAACTTCTAGTCATGAATATCATCTTCCTGACATGGGAAGCTGCATTCTGTACATTTCTTATGCTTTGGGCACAACATTGTTCATTAAAGACTAATTCAATCTATGAACAAATCAGAATCAAGCAACATACAACATTTTAAGTGGTATGTGCCAGACTGCAACAGCCATAATTTTGACAAGAGGCTCTCCCCATTTTTTCTTGCCTATAATGACTTCAGAAGTCATTTTACAAGCTGTAGGCTATATAGTAGAATGACAGCCACACGCTATGGACTGCAGAACAGAAAGACACAAGAAGCCTGGATTCCCAATGCCACAAGAATAGTCCAGAATTTCCTCCCTCTGAACATTAACATAATAAAATAATTAACTTATTATTATTAACATTAATAAAAATAAAACCCTAATTTTTGTAAGCCACTGTTCTTCAGGTTTCTTTTCATTAGCAACCAAATGAAATTCCTAATTGAGACACCTGTACAAAGTAAACATGGTTGGGACCTAAGTCATCTTTGAAAAATCCCCAGAGAAACACTGACTTAGACAACTGTTATTAGAAGCAATATGAAACATGTGGTAGATCAACTCCTGGCAAAGGTCAAAACCACACACATTAAAATAAGTGAAATGGGAGAAAGATTTCAAACTGAACCATTCCACTTCAAGATTTGAACTCTAGGAGTTGACTTCAATTGGGTGCCTAGAATATAAAAATGTTAACTGCCCACATTTAGTTTTTATTTCTCCCATATGTAAGATTCAAAACCTTTTCAGACTCTATTAAATCACCCATTTCCAAGAATTCAAGAATGAAAACATGGGTTATACTATGATGAAGATGATGGAGCAAAGGAGAATTGTTACCAGTTGAAACTTAAAGGCAATTTGGACTTATTTCTAATCACAAAACTTATTTGTTTGATGTGTAAACTATTTCGCTATGATTCTGTGGGAACTGATTCTAAAGGCAAATTATTAAAGGTAAATTAAAACCTTTTACAAGAATTCTAGGATAACATTTCTGAACCAAAGCTGACATTATTTCCTTTGATATTCTCATAAAAACAGTTAAAGTAGGTACTTTATAAAATAAATAGTAGTCTAGCAACATAAGATTAAATCCTGGGCCTCAATTTTCTAGGCAAATTTCCAGAAAAATTCTCTTATCTTCTATTGCTTGAAAATGAACAAATATCTAGCTTCTCCATCATTTAGGTTTCAAGTAAAACAAAATTTTTTAAGTATATAAAGTGCTTTCAAAGGCCATATTAGCTTATAAAAAATACTTTTTTCTGAGAGATTCTAAATAACTACCACTCTCCCTCAAGCATCTACTTCCCAAGTAACAATATATGCCTTCAGCAAATTTTATTCCAAGGGTTTGTTTCCCCAATCTTTGCTCATGACATGGTGCAAATATTTAGGTATCCAAAAAAAAAAAAAAAAAAGTACTGAAGAGAGAAACACAGGTTTTGAAAACAGATGATTATGCACATTTGGTCATAACTTTTAACAATCTGATTTTTTAAAGATTACTGATCTTCTCATTCAAATTTCCAACATGGAATTTTAGGAATTTGAAATATACCAGAGCCAAGAAAAACCACTATATCTTATAGCATACCTGTGTTTTCCCTTGCTGCCCATAAACAATTTTTGTTGGGATGATTTTAGCTGCTGGCTGAACTGTGGAACCTATTCCTTTTGGTTGAGTTACAATCATTTTGGTGATGGGTCTTGTAGCAGTGATAATAGCTGGCTTTGCTCCTGTTGGCACCGTCTGAATAGTCTTTTCTCCCTAAATTAAAGTCAGTGAATATATGAGGTTTATATGTATTTCAATGCCAAAAACTGAAAAATCACAGCGAGGTTTTACAATGATGATGGGGAAAGGACTGTAAATTAAATAGCAAAGTACAATGTTTCCAGGTGATCAAAAATCCTAGACTTAGTTGAGGTAGTCCTAAAAGTCATCTGCCCAACGTTCTGTCCAAAGAAGGCATTATTTCTTGACAAGTGAATTTAAAAAATTATCTCACATAAGAATATTTACTACACCGTCACATTCATAGAATACATACATTAAAATAGTCAGGAAATTATAAAAGAATATATACTAAAATGTTAACAATAGCTATCTCAAAAGAGTCGGGATTATAGGTCTCCCCCCAACATTACCTTTATTTTCTAATTTACCCAAAATAGAGATTTATGTAATAAAAAATTACTGTGCATTATACCAATAGCTAAATGTATACACATAAACTAAGCTCCCCAAATACAAAATTATAAGGACATACAGCAATGTCTATGCGAAAATGCATGGGCAAGAGATGAAATCAGCAGATATTAACTAACGTTCTGAGGTTATATGGGAAAATACAAAAAACAAACAGGGCATTTCCCACATTTTATTATTAGTATGTTACTAATATCACTTTAGTTTATTAACTAGATAGCTTAAGCTCATTAACTTTTCACCATTTTTATACTTTTGTCTGCTTTATTCTCAAGTACCTTCTGTCATTTATAGTCAATACTTGAGCTTACTTAAATTCAGAAACAGTGATTTTACTAAATTAATTTTTAAAAGTTAAAATCCATAAAACTGAAAAGAAAAATTTTCACCTTATTAGTTTTTAACTATTAGTCATCATCATCTAAATGTGTGGCTATCCAAACTTAGCAGACAGTATAAACAAAGCACCCAGGTGAGCTGGCAGAAGGTAATCACTCTATGAATTTAGAGCTAAACAGGTTACATAAATCCCAAGTTTAACTATCTACTGTAAGGGAGATTGTTATCTAAGGGAGATATGAAGTGTCTGTCACTCATGTTATTACTTATTTTAATACAAACACACCCTTCACAGCAGCAGCTTTGGAAGGAGCTCTAACTCATTTGCCAAGAGCCACTAGTTTGCAAATAGGCATGCCTATCTATCAAATAGCTTAATGGGCCCTGTCCAAGTATAATGACCCATTCAAAGCCTATCAAAACCAACTAGCAGGCTATTTTTTGAAGAAGCTCTTCTGATGTATGTGTGTAGACATGCCCAGGTAACCAAGCTGTTGAGTACAGATGCATATACATATGTGTAGTCTTATGCTCTGATCTGCTTGTTTTACTAGTACTTCCTGAGTCCAATTATTGCTGTTAGATATACCTAGCAGCTAGGATTCACACACAACTCTTCAATGTATGTGACCACAGGACTCTGGGTACATGACATCCCCTCTTACATATCAAATTCTATGAAACTATAAACCAGACTGTAAAAGCATTCTGAAAAGTGGAATTCTAATCCCAGGCTTTATTTTGGCTTACCATGTGAACTCAGGCTATGTTTTCCTACATGATGAAAAGATCTAATGCCAACATTATGAAGACTGCGATACCTAGGAAGCTACTAGAGATCTACTACAATGAAGTACGGCATTTTTTTCTAGCAAAGTGGGACATTACCAAGCCTAAATAGTTAAGTACCAAGAGTAACAACAATAAGAGAAAAACTACTTATTGAGGACTTCCTATGCGTCAGACGCTGTTTTAAGCACTTTTAAAACAGCTACCAGTTACTGAACAAACTCACTGGTAAAGATCACCATCCCCAACTTATAAATGAGGAAATTAAGGATGACAGAAGTTGAGTAAATTTGCCAAGGTCAAACAACTATGATACTAAGAGACAAAACCCAGGTATGTCTAACTCCAAACCTCTGCGCGACTGCCTTTACAACTATCAATGAAGCGGTTGATTTTTTTTTTTTTTACTAGCTCAAAGAGGTAAAAATGAAAGTAAATCCCCATCAATTAATTTTCTTCATCCCAAATATTTCTCTTTGCCCAACCTAGGCCAATACTAGCCTCGTGTCTACTGGCCAGAGGCAGGAATAAAACTGTCCTCTAACAGAGGTCCCACTGCAGTTAAGCCAGTGGAATCCTCCATCTGGACTAAGCTAAGCATCTAAATCATGGTCATAAGCAACTTAGCTATGAGCAACATGTTTTAGAAATTACTGTGAAAAATGGCATCAGTTGGTGGTGTTTTAACAGTTATTACATCACAGTAGCGGTAAATCAAACCATACAGGTCATTGTGGGGTTCTGAAGTCCTTAGGCAAATATTTGTATAGCTGGTCTTTAAAATCCTCAGTGGATTCGCTGAATCTGCATTATAAGCTCTTACTTACTCCAGCATTTAGCAATGTTGTGACAACGTTTTTGCCCGGGAGGCCTTGAATGGTCGTTCCTTTTCCTGTTGTCTTTTGCACAACAATCACATTGGGCTTGGAAGTCATTGGGATTGTAGTGATTTTGGTAGTCGTTCCTTAGAGAAGGGAGGAGAAAAGGAGGCCTGAGTTAAGGAGTGATATTTGGTTATTTCTGTTTATGCTGTATATAATTAATACATGTAGTTAATGTCATCCCGAGATGACATGAAGGTTGTCATAAGGATGAAAATGAAGGCTTGGAACAGTAAGTAGAAGTTGTCCTAGAATGACAGAATATTAAGAATTGACTTTTACAGCAGTCATCTTCTTGGAATTTGAAAACTTGCACACCAAAATCAGAATCTAAAAATACCACAATCAGTTTCCCCATCAATATTCCTCCCCTGACTAGTTAATTGAAACAAATAAAAATCTGCATTCCACAACAAATGCTTCCCCAAACCCAGTATTATATTTATTTGATGAGTGTGGTGGGAAAATTCTTCAAAAAAGAACATTAAAAAGAGGTAAATACTTATCAAAATTGACATAACATTACTCTAGAGAAAATTTATGAAAATAAGCCATTTATGTTTATGTGATTAAAAAAAACAAACACCCATAGACCAAGGCACAGATTAAACACATGCTCTTGTAATCTGCAGCACTCTGAAGAGTCTGAGGGTGAAACTCCAATTTATATATTTATATAAATAAACTTATATTTTCAATAATTAAGATCTACTCGGTAGATCTACATCTGCTGATCCAAACATACTATCGTGTTCTCTTCTCCACATCCTTCCACAACCTGCTTCTCTTATACCTATCAAATTTGTACCCTATATTCTTTTGACTGTCACAGTTGGAAATCCTAGTGCAAGTCTTGCCTTGTGAAAGCCCCTTGAGCTCCAAAGGATCTTTTTGCATCCCTAATTCCTCAGTGCTTAGCACATACTGTACGGCAATTACTCAGTAATAGTTGTTCAATGAATATGTGAACAAACTCAATTTGTCACCAACATGTCTTCTTTCAAAATGTTATCAATGTCAACTCAATAGATAGACCCTCATCTCTTTTGGCTTCCCATATTTTCTCCCTATTTCAAGTTTCTCTATCATACAAATAGCTCTCATGCTCCCGTTATATCAAACATCTTTTAAAAACCAGTTTGACCCAGAAAGTGAAATTGGTCAAAAACCTTTCCAGGGTAACTGGTTGACTCAGTCGATAGAGCATGTGACTCTTGGGGTTGTAAATTTGAGCCCTATTCTGGATGTAGAGATTACTTTAAAATAAAACAAAAAAAAACCTTCCTAATCCCTATTTTATCTAGATAGTTCTAACTTTCCCTCTTAGGTGTCACAATCCTACATGACCTGACCCTTAATCTACCAATTTGATCTTATTTGTTCCTATTCCATAATATACACAACAAGCTCTAATAATAAGTAATAACTCTAATAATAAGTAATAAGTCTAATAAGTAACTTCTTCTAATAAGTAACTTCTTCACTATGGCTTCCTATTATCTGTCACATAGAGCCCAAATTCCTCTTAGGTTTCCAGGTTCTGCCAGACTTTAATTTTCAGGATTATCCAATATATACCTCTTCTTCAGTGTGTTGTTGGTTTCCACATTGGTCCTTGAGCATATGGGTCCCAATGCTACTTCTATGCCTGTGATTTCCTCTGCCCATGAAAACAGGAAAGTCATACATTTCTTCTCTAGACTTGCATATCATTTATCAAATTTAGACTAAGCACAGAACAGGTACTCATTTAAAAACATGACCAATTAATATGTTCCCAAGAAGAAAAATTAAACAAAATTTTATTCTTTTCTACTAGACAAACAGCATTCCCTACTAGAGTTTTAGAAGTAAGGTTACACTAAGAATAAGAATATTCTATGGGTCCCTGGGTGGCTCAGTTGGTTAAGTGACTGCCTTTGGCTCAGGTCATGATCCTGGAGTCCTGGGATCGAGTCCCACATCGGGCTCCCAGCTCAGCGGGGAGCCTGCTTCTCCCTCTGACCCTCTCCCTTCTCATGTGGTTTCTCTCTTGCTCGCTCTCTAATAAATAAATAAAATCTTAAAAAAAAAAAAAAAAGAATAAGAATATTCTAGTCAATTTTTGGCAATCTTATTACATTATATATCTTTATATTTGCCATCATCTAATGTCTTGTCAGTCCAAGGTAACACAGGTTACATAAAAATGCACTTTTATCCACACCAGCTTCACAAATGTTTTTCCCTTTATCTGTAGTTTTTGAATAGTAAGCTGTTAAGAGCCACAAAGACCACACTGCCCATTATTCATATGTATCAACTTCAACTATTAATTAACTTTAATCCCTCATACATGATTGATTACGATGACTCCTTCAATAATACAGGCTCACTAAATACTTGGTTAATATAAGTGTTTTTAGAAAGTAAGCATTAAGGGGCGCCTGGGTGGCTCAGTCGTTAAGCGTCTGCCTTCGGCTCAGGTCATGATCCCGGGGTCCTGGGATCCAGCCCCGCATAGGGCTCCTTGCTCAGCAGGAAGCCTGCTTCTCCCTCTCTCACTCCCCCTGCTTGTGTTCCCGCTCTCGTTGTGTCTCTCTGTCAAATAAATAAATAAATAAAATCTTTAAAAAAAAAGTAAGCATTAAAAATTATCTCAAGGAAATGTTAAACTAAGTTTTAACCAAAGTACAAATGTATCTGATAGGCTCTCTATATATACACATATAAGTAAATATCTGATTCTAAGGAGTTAAATAACTGCAAAAATAGTCATGCCTTCCATTCAGTTGCTTATTCTAATGAAAAGAAAAAGTTGACCTTTCTAAAAAGCACTTTGGAAGCATGACTTTGCTTTCTAGAGAAAAGGAAGTAAGAACTTCACATAATAATTTATGTATAATGGGGTGCCTGAGTGGCTCAGTCAGTTAAGTGGCTGCCTTTGGCTCAGGTCATGATCCTGGAGTCCTGGGATTGAGCCCTGCATCAGGCTCCCTGCTCAGTGGAGAGCCTGCTTCTCCCTCTGCCTGCTGCTCGCCCTGCTTGTGTTCTCTTTCTCTCTCTCTCTCTCACTCTCGCTCTAGCTCAATAAATAAAATCTTTAAAAAAATAATTTATGTATAATGATGTTTATCACGGGATTATTTATAATGACAAAAAAAACTGGAAGCAACCTAAAAACATTCAACAATGAGAAAATGGCTAAATTATGGTGCATCATATAAGAAAATATTGTGTAACCATTAAGTGGGGGCAGAGGAGGTGTCAAGATACATTTAAAAGAATAGGAAAATAAGATTATTCTGTGAAAAAATGGGAAAAGCTGATTATATTAGATCTCAATGTAATTTAAAAAATACACACACATACACTTATAACCAAAAAATTGAACAGAAAAAGAAATGAACAGAAATACATACACTTAAATCTTAACATATTTCTCTGGATGGTAAAAATTATATGTTTTTAATTTTCTTTGTATCTTTCTGTATTTTCCGAATTACCCACAATAAGGGGGAAAGTATCATTTTTCTTTTTAAAGCCTTCTATTCTTACAGCTAGACGTCTGGGTATCTTTTAAGAAAAGCATTTCATTTTTGTTCGTGGGATAGGGGAGTCGGGTAGACACAAACTCTAGAATCCAGCATTTAATTATGGATTATCCAAATTCATCCAACTAGGCTTACCAGTTCACTGTGAATAGATAACCAGGGACTGAAAACTGCTAATAACCTAACCTGTAATCCCACTATCACGAAATAAAAAAAACATTATAAAATAAGAAAACTGTCTTTATAAAGAATATTGATATGTAACATAAGGATCAGTTTAGAGCAGTCAGAAATGAGAGATTCCTTAAAATAAAAGTGTCAGTGAAGCAGAAGTAGACACAAAACAAGCTCCATGCAATGAACAGCACTGTTTCAACTTTGTGCCAAGTACATCCTATTGTGCTGGAAAAGTTTAAGAACTCTTCTCATGTATACCCAATATACTTGAAAAAGCAGCTAACCATTGAGTTGTTTTGTATTTACATACAAAGGTGGATAAAATGTATACATGTAGAGGGTATATATCTCTGCTTCTAGGAAAATATGCTTGCTTACTATACTGCTCTAACCCGATACAAAGCAGCTAAATCATAAAGAAGGCCTGAAAACAGTGGCCTCAGGACATCTAGACATTCCTTCAAGCTATAAGGTTATTATGAATTCATATAGAAGTAAAGAAAAACCATTATGGTTATAAAAAGCTACATACCAATGAAGAATGACCACTTTTTGAAAAACATTTGAGAATGTGCTCTATACCATTAAGATACTGTCATGTAATAAATCAAAATTTGAGTTTTCACGGAGTTATTTTAAAAATCCTCTTAAAGCTGGAGTATGATGATTCTTTCCTTACTGGTTTCACCCTCCTCAGTTTGGCAAACATTGGATTTTCTCACTTACACTTAAAAATAGAGCCAATATTAGCAGTTTTAAATACAGTGCTTTATGCCAATACCATGCCCTGCTTTGTTTTTTTTATTCCCTGAGTTATCAGCAACATCATATATTGCCAGGAACTTCAATCTCTTCACTTTAAAATGTCAGAACAACTCACCTGGGGCATACAAAATATGGCTAGTCTACAAAAATGGTACACAGTTAAAGTCCACAGGGCTTGCTTGATGAGAAATTATTTACATAATTTTAATTAAAAACCAATAACGAAAACAGATGCTATGTTAACATTCCACTTCGGAGTCCATAGTCCAAATACTGCAGGAATTAATGAGCTGAGAAAAACCAGGTTAAAGTCCCAAAATACCAATAAATATTAGCTTTCACTGAGTAAAATATTTCTTAAAAGTAAACAATCAATATAATGGTGAAAAGAAAATAAAGATACTCAAATATTTTTTTTTAATAAGCTAAAGTGACATTAATAAATGAAATTATAAGATATGGTCCCTCAAAGATGAATAAATTCTAGTTCTTTCTTCCTCTATCTAGCTTGTGTGGTCTTAGATAGGTCAATTTCACCTCTCTAAACTTAAATCTGGCTGTACCTGTCAACTGTGGGTGATACCAACGATTCAGATTTATCCATTCTGAAAGGACTGACAAATGGGAGAATACTCAGTAAATGAAAAATCTCTATACAAATATAAATCATAGTAATTCCACTCTGATTAAAAACAACTAATGTTCTATTTTAAAACTGTCAAAAACTTAATGTGTGAAAATTTAATACTAGAAATAAAAAACTAGACTTAATCACTAAATATCAGGACTAAAAACAAAGCTCCAGATTTCTAAGCAGAAAACAGATCTAACAGAATCCTTCAACAGTGAAATGTTTTTTCCTCTTACTGGTTACCTATAGCTTTAACGTATTTCAGATATACCTACCAGAAACTATATTACTGCTAATTATCTTGCCCCCCAAGGTAGCTAATGACTTGGGTACTACTGTGATGATGCTACCACTGGTAGTTTTCACATAGGTTGCAGCTCCAGGGGTTGCAGCCATCCGACCTATGGACGGGCTCACTGTTGGCCGGGTATAGGTTGCCTGTGTGCCTATGAAAAGGGAAAAGCCAAAAGAAAAACTTGTCATTCCTTATAGAAGAATGACAATTTACACAGTTTAGCTATAATTCAATGTAATCTACATTGCTTTAACTTGAAAATGGACTTTCAAGGTGTCAAGACATTAAGTAACAATTTATAGACAGTTTTCAATGCACATAGCAAGAACTACAGCCAAGTCAATTTGGATTAATTTTACACATAAAATTTTGTGATGTGTTGCATCAAATTACCAACCTCAAGAAAAAGTATAACTGTGTTCCTTTCTTCCACTACCCTTCTTCCACTAGTTCTATGCCAAAAGAAACTTAAATTTAATCATCTTTCCTGCCAGAGCATTTTAGATAATTCTGTTACAGATTTTAAGGTCTCTACATCTGTTTTATGCTGTCACAGTGCCAAACCCAATGTCAGCATTCAGCAAATAAGGCAGTATTGTTTGCTTAAAATTTTAGAAACTTACACTATTTTGTACTCTGCTACTCTCTAAATATATTTCTATCTTTTAAAGAATTATTCCATCATTTTACTAGAGATTAAAGTTGAAGCTGCCAAGAGTTGCCAGGAATATTTCTTTTGGCCAAAAAAGTTCACTATTTACATATTTCCTCAACTCTAACTGACCCCTTAGAAAATTTTTCTTCATGTCTCTCAAAGGATTTTGCATTCTTCCCCACTATTCCAAAGATGTTTTTCTTTTCCCAAACAAGAATTAAAAACTAACCAGATGAGCCTGTTATAGTTTCCTACAAGTCCAGTAACTCAGAAATACTATTCCTACACTAAGAACTATTAGTCTGGGGAAGAAAGAAGATGACTAAGATAATACCTTCTTTGACAGGAAAGCATTTTTTCATAATAATTAGAATGGTCATCGTGATAACCATTTTCAACAACTCCCTCCCTGCAAAAATGCTTTTATCAAGATATTTAAAAATTTTTAAATACAATCACAACCCAAAAAAAGGAGAAGGGGAAGAACATTAAGTAGAATTAATTTAAGTCAGTTACAAACATACATTTGAATCTCCCTCAAAAAATCTAGTGCAAAGGGGGCACCTGGGTGACTGAGATGATTAAACGTCTGCTTTCGGCTAAGGTCATGATCCCAGGGTCCTGGAATCAAGCCCCACATCGGGCTCCTGACTCTGCGGGGAGCCTGCTTGTCCCTCTCCCTCTGCCTCTCCCCCTGCTCATGCTTGCTCTCTCTCTGTATCTCTGTGTCTCAAATGAATAAATAAAATCTTAAAAAAAAAATCTAGTGCAAAGTAAACATGCTACAAACATAGTGTGAACCAGCTAAATTTTAACAAAAAATTTTCCACTTAAGCTTTTGTTTTAAAAATAGAAACACCTTTTCTAACAGAGATACACAGGCACAGACAGACACATTATTATTTTTTACTATCCTTCCCTAAGGTAAAGAATCATATATGAATAACACTATTATTTTTGTACCAAATGGAAAAAAGTTTGGGGCAGGGGGGAGGGGTGGGGAGGGTGGAGTATGATAAATTTAATGCAAGAATAGCGTGTTTTTAAAGCACAGGTTTTGCAGAGACAGCAAGTAGAATGGTGGTTGGCAGGGACTGTGGGAAGGTGGTAATGGAGAGTTATTGTTTAATGTGTAGAGTTTCAGTTTGGGAAGATGAAAAGGTTCTGAAGCCTAATGGTGATGATGGTTATAAAATAACATGAATGCACTGAATGTCAATGAACTATACACTTAAAATGGTAAATTTCATGTTCTATTTTACCACAATTAAAAAGAAAAAAAGAGAGTCAAACAAATGGGGGTTCAAATCCCAGATCTTCCTTTTATTGGCTGCATGACTTTGGGCAAGTTGCTTAACATCAGTCTCTGTTTTGCTGCTAAAAGTGGAGACATTAAAGCCTAAGGAAGATTAAGTGTAATGTCTGTATAGACCTTTACATCCTGGCCAATAAATGATAGCTTTATAAACTTGAGACAGGTATCATTTTACACTATTTACATTCTATCATCTAAGTAGTGGCCCTTCTCAAAAAATCTGGTAAGAGTTATACAAATTTAAAATAGTAGTAATAGCTAATTCTTACATTAATTAATAATAATAGCTATTGAGCACTCTGCTGGGGACTGTACATACCTGATTTCCTCTAATACTTATAATAACCTTATGGTACAGGTATTGTTATCCCATTTAAACAGACAAGGGAAAAGACTTACAGGGATTAGTAACCTGCTCAAGGACACAAAGGGTGGTACTATTTAAAATGTTCTACACTGTCACTTCCTTGGGCATAGCCTGGTTGTTCTCATATATGGGCAAAATGGCATCCTGTGCTTCTCTCAGTCTGAGTAATGCTTACTACACCGCAATGTAATACAGACTTTCAACCTCCTAAGAGTGCAATCCTTCTGGGCTGGGAGAGTGTGTTTTCGGTTCCTCAACAAATCCTGACTAAACACCTACTTGCAGACCAGCTCTACATATATATGGTGAATAAAACAAAGACGGTCCCTTATCATGGAGCTTATGGTCTAGTAAGGTGAACTACATTAAATCAACAAACAAGTAGTGAAGAAATTAGAAACTGTAGTTATGTGCTATAAAGTAAAAGAACAGAAGACCATGACTATAATAAAAGAAAGCTAATTTTAGCTGGGGGGGAAAGGCTCTTAAAGAACTGTCTCATTAACCTCTATATCCCCAGTATCAAGCACTATGTTGATACAAAGAAATTACTCAATGACTGTATGATGAATGTATGGACTGATGCTCGAGAAAACTTACCAGTAGGAGTGGTTACCAGTTTAGTTGTCATAATTGCACCATTACTGCTAACCACCATAATAGGGGAATTGCTACTGGTGGGCAGAGTTGCTGTCACTGGTTTGGGTAAGATTTTACTTGGTTGAACTTGTTGTGTGATGATTTTAACACCTTTGAAAGAAGAAAGAGAAATCTCAATACAGATTATTTTGAAAAACATTTTCCTTACACCAACCCAAGAGGGCAGTAGTTACACATATTTGCTCAGTCTTGCCTAAAGAGAAGCTTTTTTCAAAATGATTAAACTCTCAATTTTTATTCCTTAAATTCCTATCTTTCCTGATTCCTCTCATTCAAGAATATAATTAAGATATTACAGAAACTATTAACAATTTCTTTAAAAAAACATTTTTTCCTTTTGTCTATGATCACGTCAAATAAGAGCTTTCAAACCAAATTAGTGTAATGATGTGGAATTTTTTACATTTTTCAAAATTTTTATTTAAATGTTAATTGTTACATTGACTTTCCAAGTGTAAAATATCCATTTAAAAGAAATCTCTCAAAAAAAGTAAAATAAAAAATAAAATGAATCTCTCATGCTAACTATAAATTTAAGTACTAGTAATTGTTAACTGAGGAAGGAAATTTTTGGTAACACTTTTCCCCCTGACTAACTTCACTGAAAAAATCCATGGGATGGAGTATATTGTCATAGACAACTAAAAATTATATTACTTTTTAGATAGTGATTTAGGTTGAGATATTAGGAAGCAAATACATCTATTTATTTAACAACCTTAAATAATTTTAAATTTTTTTAGGCCAACTAAGAAGTTAAAATTATGATCATCACCTAGGCGTAACTGGGCAAATTATTATCTCTATAACTCAGTTTTCTCATCCATAAAATAAAGATACTATCAGTATATACATTCTTGGGTTGTTATAAAGATTAAATAAATCAAAACTATAAAGTACCTAATGCATAGCAAGAATTCAATAAAGTATTATTACTGTAAAGATAAAGAAACTCTGATTATAATAAATCATAACCAGTGAAGTTGTAGGGAAAAAATTTTTTCCAGTATTATCTCATTAGTGAATTACAATAATGCTTAAGACACATAAAAAGAAGTACACCTCCCCCAATAACCACAGACAGAAAAAACTTAATGGAATCATAAGAGATTACTTTGCTCAGTCCTATGCAAATAGACTGAAAATTTAGATCAAATAGATTATTATCTAGAAAAATATTAGTTATCAAAATGGACTTCAGAAAAGACAGGTATCTAATTAGACAAATTTCCTTAAGATAAATTTTAAGGAACTCCTCCCCCTTCATCAATAAATAGTAGGCCCAGATAGTTTCACAGAACAATTCTATAGTCTGTAAAAAGAAGATAATTACAATGTATTTAAAACCATTCCTCTTTAAAGTTCTCATTATCAGAAAAAAAAAAAATTTGTAACTGTGTGGTGATAAATGTTAACTAAACTTGTTGGGGTGATTATTTCATAATATATACATATATCAATCAAATCATTATGTTATACACCTAAAAATAATACAATGTTATATGTCAATTATATCTCAATTAAAAATGAAAACCATTCAGAGATCAATTTCTGACAAGAGAGCATGAGGAGCTCTGCTAATCTGCTAACCCAATGGAACTAGTAAAATGATAACCAATGAGAAGCTCTGGAAATAGTCCCAAGGACAAATGAAGAAACATCTATTTAAGAGTATGTAGAAAAATCCGGTAAGAAAGGAGAGATATGTGGTATTTAAACTAAGACCTGTCCCTCCTTACCCACTAAGAGGGAGGGAAAGACTCCTCCCCAGACTGCTGTAGTCAAGAACACAAGGTTTCCTCTTATTCCAGCTCCCTGTTAGAGGGCTTTCTTCTGAGGAGCAGTAGGACTTCAGTTTACCTCAGGTAGGTATTGCTGCCCCCAGGTAGATATTGCTAAGCCCCAGGCAAGTGATGTCAAGAAGTGTGCATTCCCTTCTTCTGCCAAGCCCCCAACTGATGGAACAAAGGCTATACTTTGGGCACAACGTTACTGAGAAACTGGAGTCCTGATCACCATTGCCCTGGCTTGTGAGGTGGTGGCTCTACCACAGGAAGCAAGCCAAGAGGATGTCAGGTTGTTGCCCACACTCCTACCCTTGCCTTCACTGAGTGCTCAGCTTCTAGAGCAGGAGTGTCATTCAGAGAAGAGCTCCAGAGCTGCCTGAGGGTAAAAACAGATAATAAAATAGATAGTTTGCAATCTCTTCCCAAAGGAACTGGCTTCGTTTGTAATAGAGCATGGAGAAGTTCAAGCTCTCAAGAACAGTTGAGGACGTGATGAAAGGCAACTGGAAGAAGATTTATGGATTTAAGAAAAAACAGTGGGGGCGCCTGGGCAGCTCAGTTGGCTAAGTGTCTGCCTTTGGCTCAGGTCATGATCTCAGGGTCCTGGGGTTGAGCCCTGAGTCAGGCTCCCTGCTCAGAGGGGAATCTGCTTGTCCCTCTCCCTCTGCCTCTCAACCCTGCTCATGCTCTCTCTCAAATAAATAAAATCTTAAAAACAAACAAACAAAAAACCCTGACATTCAAGACAATAGGCCAGACAGCTTGCAGAAGAGAACTGAGGTATAAGGAAGCTAAGAGGAACCATCTGTGGTCAGAACAAATACACCTCTGAAACTATTCCAACAATTTAGACTAGTTTGTAAAGCAACTTAAGACTCCAAGACACTGTTGAAAACAATAGAGTAGTTTAACAGTTGGGTGTGGTCAGAGAAAGAGCAGGAGAGAGTCACACTGATTCCACTGTCATCTCAGAACAACTGTGAGCATACCCAGAGCTGTAACTCCCTAAGCAACAGCATCAAAAGCTTACTTCATTAAAATAATTGATCTAGTTACAAAACAACAAATGGTGAAGTAAATAACAAAAAAAATCACAGACTGGGAAGGTACAAGAAGACCAGTATCTAGCTACAATATATAATGCCTAATATCTAAAATATCAAGGGGTGTCTGGCTGGCTTAGTTGTAGAGCATGTGACTGTCAATCTCAGGGTTCTGAGTTCAAGCCCCACGTTGGGCATGGAGTCTACTTTTTCAAAAATAATTAAGTAAACTAAATAAAATATCAATATAAATATCTAAAATGTCCAGTTACAACAAAATACAAGGAGGCGTACAAAGAAACAGGAAAATATGACCCATACACTGGGAAAAAAAGCAGGCAACAGAAATTCCCTATGAGAGCAAACACATGTCAGATTTAACAACAACAAAAGACTTCAAAGCAGCCATTATAAATATGTTCACAGAAGTACAGGAAAGCATGATGATAGAAGTAAAAGCGGGTATGATAACAAAGTTGCATCAAATAGAGTATTAATAAAGCAATAGGAATTATAAAAAAAGAACCAAAGGGAAAATTTGGGGTTAAAAAGTATAATAACTGAAATAAAAAATTCGCTAGAGGGGCTCAAGAGTAGATTTGAACTGGCAGGAAAAAATAAAAGAGCAAATGTGAAAATAGAGCAATTAGATTATGCAAGCTGAAAAAAATGTCAGAGAAAAAAGAATGAAAAAAATGAACAGAACCTCAGAGAAATGTAGAACAGCATCAAGTGCCCCAAACATATATGTAACAGAACTACCAAAAGAAAGAAGAGCAAGAAAAGAGAAGAAGAAATATTCAAAGAAATTGCTGAAAATGTCCTAAATTTATTTGAAAAGCAGTAACTTATACATTCAGGAAGCTCTATAAACTCCAAACAGAATAAACACAAAGAGATCTACAAACAGACACATCATACTAAAAATGCTAAAAGTCAAAAGCAACAGAAGAAATCTTGAAAGTAACAAGAAAAAACCAACTTATCACTTATAAAGGAACTGCATTAAGGTTAATAACTGACTTCTCAGCAGAAACTGTGGAGTTTAACAGGCATTAAGACAACTATTCCAAGTGTTCAAAGAAAAAAACTGCCAACCAAGAATCCAATATCCAGCAAAGCTATCTTTCAGAAATGAAGGCAAAATAAAGACTTTACCAGATAAACAAAAATAGAGGGAATCTGTTGCTAGTAACAATGTGTTGCCTTACAACAGACACTAAAGGAAGTTCTATGATAAGAAGGAACAAGGAACAAAACTTTGATGTTCACTCTTGACAGTTATACTCAACATTTTACTAGAGACTCTAGTCAGGGAAATTAGGCAAGAAAAAGAAATACAAGGCATCCAGACTGTAACAGCAGAAATCATCTCTATTTGTAGATGACATGATCTTTTATATAGGAAATCCTAAGAAATTCACCTATAACTATTAGAGCTAAAAAATGAGTTCAGCAAAGGTACAGGGTATTAAATCAACACAAAAATCAGTTGCATTTGTATAAATTAGCAACAAATAATCCAAAAAATGCAATTAACAATTTCATTTACAGTAGCTTCAAAAAAATACTTAGGAATAAATTTAACAAAAGAAGTGTAAAATTTATACTCCAGAAACCATACAACATTGTTGAAATAAATTAAAGAAGATCTAAATAAACGGGAAAACATCTCATGTTCATGGATCAAAAAATTTAACATTATTAAGATGGTAATACTCCTAAACTGACCTACAGATTCAATGCGATCCCTATCGGAATCTCAGTTGACTTCTTTATAGAAACTGATAAGCTGATTCCAAAATTCATATGGAATTGCAAGGGACCCAAATAGTCAAAACAATCCTTAAAAACAGAACAAGATAATAGCAATTACACTTCCTGGTTTCAAAACGTACTACAAATCAGTGGTAACCAAAACAATGCGGCACTGGCATATGGATACACATACACATTAATGGAACAGAACTGAGAGTACAGAAACAAACCCACACATGTGGCTGACTGATTTTCAACAAGTTCAGCAGTGGGGGTGGGAGGGGGGGAGATAGTCTTTTCAATAAATGGTACTGGAACAAATGGATAGCCATATGCAAAAGAATGAAATGGGAGGCTTACTTCACATCATAACAAAATTAACTCAAAATGGCTCAAAGACCTAAATTTAAGAGGTAAAACTATCAAACACTTAGAAAAAGACAAAGAGATAAATCTTTATGATCAGGGATTTGGTAAAAGATTCTTAAATATGATACCAAAAGCATAAGCAACATTAGAAAAAA